GCAGGAAAGGCTGACCGCTCTTGTCCACTAAACCCCCATCCATCAGTTATCCAGTTCTTTCAAATACACATTTTTTTTCTTTTTTTTTTTTTTTTGAGATTTTTGCTATGGCACATGCACTTGCCAGAGAGAGAGAAAGTGAGAAATTTCCCTCAGGATGGATGGCCACGCTACAGTCCGTTCACCATTCTTCTCTCAGGATTTTGAGTACACATGCACACGTGCCTGTTATGAGTTTCAAGCTACCAGGTCCAAGTTTCAAGCCACAGTCAGCCACGTAGGAGTCCAGTGCTTTTAACTGCTACACCACCTCTGGCCCCTCAAATACACATTTCTATTAACAAACACCTGCCCAAAGAATACAGAAAGTGATTGAACTTAGGGCATATGTGTGACTTGAGAGTTGTCTGAACCTTGTTTTGGGCCTGTGGATAATGTCTGGGGAGGCCTTTCATGTGCATTCCCAGTTTCTAGCCTGCATTTCTCCTGCCCCCCTCTTGCCCACCTCCCTTGGCTAGGATGACTCTGTCAGAATCTCCCTTCACTCCATGTATCAAAGTCAGAGATGAGGAAGACCCGGATCCTGCCCTCAGTCAGCCTCCAGCTCACAGAACACAGAGCAGGCGAACAAGTTGAGTGGAAGCAGGACATGCTGACTGGCTGATGGCACAGCCCACTGAACACGTCGGTGTTGCTCAGGTGGGACTGGTGCAAGATGTAGAAAGAGGGGAGGGAAGAGGGGCATGAGCAGCCTAGAGTGAGGAGTTTTGAACTCTTATCCTGTAGGTAGTAGGAAACAGGTGTTTGAGCAGGGGAAAACCTGGTTAGAGCTGTGTGAATGAACTGAACTGAAGGCAAATCTGTTAAGAGGCTGTTTTCTATAAGACAGGTTTGAGGTGATAGAGGCTTCATTAGCACCTACCTTTCCTCTCAATCACCCAGAGCAGTTTCCACTTACGAAAGATGAGTGGGCTTCTGCTAGACACTGAGACAGGGTGGTGATTCCAGCTCTGGTCTTGAGAAAACAGACAGGTAACCCACTGATTGACCTTCTTCCTGCTAACAGATCCAGGCCTGGGGAAGCGGGGACTACCGAGAGCCTGGTCATCTTTGCTCGAGGAAATTTACTTGAATTCCTTTTTCAGCCTTCCTATGCCCTAGACACTGCCCAGGTGTTTCACGCTGCGCTTATGTCCTTTATGTCCTGGGCCTTAGCTCTACCCAGCAGCCCTTAGGTCTAGTTCCCCACTCTTCCTAATGGGGACACATTTGCTTTTTAGTGACTTTAGCAAGATAGAATCCCATTCTCTTTCTCTCTTTTTAAAATTTAAACATAGTTTGTACATGATTGGGTTGCTATGTACGAGGAGTCTTCAGAAAGGTCATAGAAAGTGCTATAATGAAAAAAAACTGTGTGGATTTTTTTTGGGGGGGAGGTTTTTTGCCATAGGGCACATGCACTCGCCAGACAGAAAGAGAGAAATCACCCCCCCCGGGGGGATGGCCACGCCGCAATCCCTTCCCCTCCATTCTCCTCTTGGGATCTTGGGCATGCACGCACATGCGCCCGGCGTGAGTTTTAAGCCACCGGGTCCGGGACGAGAACCACGGTCAACTATGTAGGAGTCTAGCGACATAGCCATTACGCTAACTGCTGGTCCCTGGATTTCGAACTTTTCAAAACTAAAATGAACATACACTTTGTTCGCATTTTTTCCACACACACTTTTTGAAGCCCTCAGTATATGTCCAGTGTGGTCAATGATGTTGGTATTTAGAACAAAACTCTGGCTTAGTGAATAATCTAACGTGGTCCTTCTAACTTTCTTTCTCCCTTCCTCTTTTTGGAGCTGTGTACTGTGCATGACTCTGCCTTGACCCCCCACCCCCTGACTCCAGCCCCAGAGCCTTGGAAAAGTTCTGAATCGTGAAGGGCAACAGCCTAGGCTCTTCTAGCAGTCTTTGGGCCTGGGATGCGGGCCTTCCATGGAGACTACCCTTTGTATTGTCCTTAAATCCTGCTGGTATTTAAGGATCAGCTCAAGTGCTGCTTCCTTTGTGAAGCCTTCCTTGACTTCTCCTAGTTGGGTACAAGCTCCCCTTCCCTTGCTGCCCTCTCCCTCCCGCTCCACATCTCCCTTCTGGTCTGGTAAGGTAGGAGGGTCATCTAGGAAGAGCTATGCCAACCTACAGCAAGCAGGAATCTCTTCTAGAAGAGAAGTTAGAGGTCAGGTTGGAGAAGCAGAACTGAATGTCAGGAATAAAGAGGTAGTCAGTCCACAGACAGGAAAATCTGTTGGGGCCACACACTGACCGAATCAGGAACAGGTCAGAAAATACCATGGAGTATGAGACCATTAAGCCAACAGCTCTGGACAGCAGCCCTAATGTGCAGGCTACTGGCCTACTTTATGTGAAGCTGCCTAGTTGGGTGTGGTGTGGGCTGCCTAGCAGGGCAAGATCTGCCACTCACCACACTTTGATATTATTTTAAGTGGCTATTTCCTCTCATTAATTAAGTTTATTTGTTTCTTCCATGAGTGAGAGAGCACTCCCAAAAGAGTCTTGATGACATGTGCATGTCAAGTATGTTCAGAGGGCTCTCCAGATATGAACCCAGAATCTGCCCATGTGGGTCAGCCTCACAGAGTGTCACATCTTATTCTGTACCACTTTCCAGCCCTACTTTGTCCTTTATATTAAGAAGTTTTGGGGGGTGGGTAGCAGGTGGCGTGATGGTTGTGGTGCTGGACTCCCACATGGCTGACTGTGGGTCACATACTGGACCTAGAGGTTTGCTTTCTCGCTTTCCCCCTGTCTGTCTGTCTCTGATCAAATTAATAATAATAATAATAATTTTTTTAAAAGAAGACTTAAAATTTTATTTATCTTTTTATTATTATATTTTTATGGAGAGGTTTTTGCTATAGGACACGTGCGCTTGCCCGAGAGACAGAGAGATGGAAAGCGAGAAATCACCCCCCAGGGGGATGGCCACGCCGCAGTCTTTTTTCCTCCATTCTCCTCTCAGGATCTTGGGCACGCACGCACACCCAGCATGAGTTTAAGCCACCAGGTCCGGGACTTGAACCGTAGTTGACTACGTGGGAGTCCAGCGACTTAGCCATTAC